TCTTCTTGTCCTACCCAGCCATACTATATTAATTACAATTGCTGCCTCCTTCACAATTTCTCTTTGGCTTACTCCCAGTCCCCATTTGACCTGCCCACATTTTTGCTTGGACTGCGAACACCTCACACTTGTCTCATCAACCAGTGAGGCTTTATTTCATTAGGACATGAACAAGGCAAAGTACTAGCGTCATATAATAGGTTTATTTCTTCCTCGTGTTCAATGCCCTTTTGTAGCTAGTTGGAAATTTTGGCCCATGCTTCCTCACTCTGGGACCCCAAGTTGCTAGAGCAGGAAATCTCTAGAACAGTGCATAAACAGCAGAGGGAGGGAGAGCTTAAGAGGATCGAGCTGGCAAGCTTTCACCTGGAGTTACAAACATCTGCTGCCACAAGATTCACTGTATCACTGTATCACTGTCATCCCGTTGTTCTTCGATTTACTCGAGAGGGTGCCAGTAATGTCCCTATTCCTCCCAGTCCTGAGATTTTAGCAGCCTTTTCTTACTCGTCTCTTCCCAACGATTGGAGGCTCTTTCAGGATCAGGGGAATGAAACCTGTTGTCGATACTGGTTTTGGCCTATCAAATATGCCACAGGGAGCTTGCTGGGCTCTGCCCATGTCGGCGGGATACTCTCGGTAGCTTGCCGGGCTCTCCGAGAGGCATATATTTATATATTTCTCTCTATGATTTGCTGTCTACTATCTGAACCCCATCAAATATGGTGTGGCAATTATGGAAAATGGGTTCAGAGTGTCCTATAGTGTGCAAAGTCGCCACAAGGTCCAAAAAGTGGCCTGGAGTGTGGCAGTGATTGGGTAGTGCAGATTGGCTGCCAGGGCTGGGTCCCTTGGGGAGGGCTCTCACTCGCCCCACTCTGGGGTGCCCCGAGTGAAAACAGCCTGGTGCAGAGTCCCACAAGATTGACCAGAATTATTCACCAGCCTCCAAACCTATGAGAGATCCAGGAACTAGAATTCTGCCATGTGACCAATAACGGAAAATGGGAAATGTTTGGCAGCCAATTATCTATCACACTCAATGAATAGCCCTTCAGACTCTCCTGCCTCAAGACAATTCTCTTTATCTGGCCCCGATACCACTGAGTTTGAAGTCACAGAGAGAAGATCCCATCTTACACAGTTAAGAAACCATAGTCATTTAATTTCCTCAGATCCAGTTTCTTCAATTCTCCCTGCCTAGACTCCTAAGTATACATTATTAGATGGGAATCCCTACCGACATGTAGCACTGTAGCACTGTCCTCCCATTGTTCATCGATTTGCTCAAGTGGGCACCACTAATGTCTCACAACAAATTGTGAGACTTGCTGTTACTGTTTTTGACATATCGAATATGAGTAATAAATTCAGTTCATCTAATGCAGTATGAATTCAAGAGCTAGCTTATGAAGCCAGAAGTACTTATTTGTGATTTCACTTATGATGATGACAGAGGTAACACATTTTGAGGGGGGCTTGCTCAGAGCACTTCTTGAGCTCTGACTATTCTTGAGCCTGTTACAGGGAGCTCTCAAGACACCTGTATTAGGATTCGCACACTGATCAGCTTAGTACCCCTCCCTGCTTCTGTACTTCAGATCACATAGCCCCAACCTCAGATCACACAGCCCCAACACCTGCAGTGTGGGCAGTAGAGGGATAGGGGAAATTGACACCAATTATTTTTCATTACAATAATCCTCTTTTTCTCCTGTGACTCTTCGCTTGCTCTTCTCTCTCATGCTATTTCTTTTGCAGCCTAAATATGTTCTCTCTTCCCAAAGGTATCTGACTGTATCCATCTCTGTTAAGAGTCCCTGTCCTTGGGGCTGAAGTGATAGCACAGCGGAGAGGGAGTTTGCCTTGCATGTGGCTAACCTGGGTTCGATTCCCAGCATCCCGTATGGTCCCCTGAGCACCACCAGGAGTAATTCCTGAGTGCAGAGCCAGGAGTAACACCTGTGCATCTCTGTGTTTGGCACAAAAAGCAAAAAGAGTGAGAGTGAGAGAGAAAGAAAGAGACAGAGAGAGAGAGAGAGAAAGAGAGAGAGAGAAAGTCCCTGTCCTCTCCCATCACCATTCATGGCAGTGCTGCCTGGCACTGACCATCCCCAGATGACATCCATGGCATATTGTGTATCACTGCCTCTGAGCTGTGCCCAGGCTATTCTCCACTCCACAAGTACCACCCCAACAATTTTGCTAATGATTTCCAACATATTTTGGAAATATGTGGGTTCTTTCATCTCCCCTCTACTCAACCTGAAACCCAGATGCAGAGACTGATGGAAGAAACTGAGCCAAGATTTAGAAGAGAACCTTTTCCGTTCAACCTCTGAACACAGACACAAATATCCAAGGACCAGCCTGCTCAGCCCAGAGAGGAGGGCACTTTCAACAACAAATGTCATCTTGAGACTTAATTCAACAGCTATAACAGGGTGAGTCACCCTCAAAACACAAAACAAAGCTCAGTTACTTCATGGGGGGCCCTGAGGCCTTTATACACCCGCCTGTGATTCTCAAAGGTCAGGACCAGGAGCAGCTATTCTGGAGATTTCAAAGCCACGCTTAAGCACCAGCTGCAGAACTCAAGTATGATGCAAGGATGCAGACTCCTAAAGGATGCTCTTAAAAGCAACTAGCTGCAAGGAGAAAAACAAAAAGAAATATACACAGGTTCTGTCAAAACCTATTTCTCGAGGCACACAGCATCCATTATGGGACACTGCAGAGAGATGAAGATTGTGCCTGGAGCTCAAACCCCTGATGTAATCTGCCTTGTTGGAAGAAACACTGGAATCATTAAAGATCCTTAAGTCTGGCTGACACATCAACAGGAGATGGAGGCCCAAAATGCAGAGGCTACTGAAGAGCTTACAGACACGGAGGCCAAGCCAAGGTCTCTGGAGGCAGCAGGGTATTATAAATACACAGGCTTCCCCGTAGAAAAGCGTTTATGGCATCCACACTCACAGTTTCTGACAAAGACTCTGGAAACCTGTCAGTTTCAGGAGAAATAAAGAAACAAATGATGGATGAGAGTTCATTATTTGGAGGAGAAACACTTCTCAAATTACGAATCTTTATTTCTCCTTCCTACCTATTCCCTATGCAATGCCAAACAAAAAGTGATATGCAGGATTCATCAGGGCCTGCTGTACTGTAACAGACTCCTCTGGGGACTGAACCACACACGTGCTTTCCAATAGCTGCCACTTAGGGATAAAGGGAAATTCGAAAGTTAAACTACCTTGAAATTGATTCATAGCAAACATGTTTCTTCCATGTTTCCTTTATAGTAGGGGCAAACTTGGTAGATTAATTTTTTATTGAGTTAGAATTTGTGTGAGGTAATTTATCTTAGAAATCTAATTTTAGGAAATTAGACTGTCATTTTCTTTTTGCTGCAGTTTTTAAAAAATGATTATTTTTCCTTTAATTTTCTTTTTTTTTTACAGTTACTAAGTTTTTTGTCATACAATGTTCCAACACCCACCCCTCACCTGCCGTCAACGTCCCCAGTTTCCCTCACTTCACAGACCCCCAGTCTGCCTTGGAATGACCCTGAGCTGGGCCCAGTCTCGCTCTGTAACCTCAGGAACCTGGAACTGTCATCCCAATGTGCTCGTGTCCTTGAGGGGGTCCAGACCTGGCTTTGCAGAATAACAAGCTTGGGGGTCTCTGCTTCTGAGCGCCCGGTCAGACACTCTGGAAGGGAGCCTCTCTTGCTCAGGGCCGGTCTCCAGAGCACCAGCTCTGCCGAGTCAGCCGCAGGAAGGAAAACGGAGTCCTCCCACTTCTGAACGAGAGCTGCTGGGCTGCCGGCTGGTTCACAGCGGGAGTCTCACCAGGGCCTCCAGGGTGGAGGCGCCCTCAAGCACCTGCCGTCTGCTGGGCTTTCCCGCTGACCCGGACCCCACCTGGGCCCTTCATCAGGAATCCACCCACCAGGAATGCCTACAGAGCCAGCCAGGAAGACTCCAGCAGGAGCTGCAGACACTGGGTGAACGTGAGCCTCCTTTAATTTTCTTTTTCCATTTATGATTTCACCAAAAAAATAATAATAATAACAATAACAACAGAAACTCAATTGTGAGTAAGCAACTGTTTAGGGATGGGATATTATATACTGATGTGATACAAATAATTGCAAAAAGCATTCTAAACTGTGACTTGTGTTTACAGGATGCTGTGACTCACAAAAGAGAGAGGATAAAGTTAGAGAATGGAGACAAGGGATAGTAAAAGATATAAATTCACACTTGGTTTGTAATTTCCAATGAACTAACATGAAAGCTCCTTTAAAAGAAAGTTTTAGAATGAAACAAAGTTTTATTCTAAGAATCCATCTTTAAGGTTCTTCCTATCTCAGCTTGCAAGGAATGAAAAACAGATACACTTGTCAATGAGAGAAATGTTGATCCTTTATCCTATGACTCTCAAAAACACATGAAGGAGACATAATCCCAGGAAGAGCTTTCAAGCTGAGCCATAGTTCTGTCTAAAAGTCAAAGGCTTGTTTTTGAAATAGTCTAGATGGTTTCATTTTTGACCCTTTCAAACTGACAGGCAATTACAGGGAGTCATATGGGTGATACAGGTAGCATTCTGCTATCACATATCTTCTTAATTGCATTTAATAAAAAATAGAAATTTAAAAACTAAATGTTGGGGCTAGAGCAATAGCACAGCGGTAGGGCGTTTGCCTTGCACGCAGCCAATCCAGGTTCGATTTCCAGCATCCCATATGGTCCCCTGAGCAACACCAGGGGTAATTCCTGAGTGCAGAGCCAGGAGTAACCCCTGCCAGGTGTGACCCCAAAATAAAAATAAAAGGCATTGCCAGGTGTGACCCCAAAATAAAAATAAAATAAAAATAAAAAACCAAATGTTAAAGGATGCAATTACCTCAAGAATAACCCACAGACAATGTGCCTTGTTGCTTATCTTATTTTGGGTCCTTTTGTTGGTGCAATTATTAAATGTGAATGGGGATCACTACTCAGCCTTTTGGCTAAGGTCAAGCGTAGTATCTGTTCTTATCAGTTTAGTATCTGATATGTCCTCTATCCAAGGACAATATATTAAATGATTTTTTGGAGCAAGAAGAAGGAATAGGAGCTTTCTCCGCCCACTCCACACATATTGTAGTACCTCTAGGAACGGTGTACCAAAAATAAATAAATAAATACACAAATAAATAAATAAATAAAATGTGAGTGTGGAATTGTTTTTCTGTTTAATTTTTTAAAGGGCCAGAACGATAGCACAGCGGGTAGGGCGTTCGCCTTACACGCGGCCAACATGGCCTACCCGAGTTCGATTCCTCCGCCCCTCTCGGAGAGCCCGGCAAGCTACCGAGAGTATTCGATATGCCAGACACAGTAACAACAAAGTCTCCAATGGAGACGTTACTGGACCCGCTCGAGCAATTTTTTACAGTTTCTATTTTACTGGTTTACACTTGCAATGCTACTTAACCTCCCTGCAAACAGTGTCAATAACTCTCCATCCGCCCCCAAGGTCCCTTCTTTCTACCTCCACCGCTTGACAATCTCAGCTCATTGTTCTGTCAGCAACATCTCTGGCTTGCCCTATCACAGTTATCTATTCCCTTTATTTCTTTATATTCCACGTTGAGTGATCTTTTTGTCTTTTCCTTCTTTTTTCCAGATGCCCTTCAGTTCTATCCAAGCTGTAACAAACCACAAGCGTCCATCTTTTTAACACAGCTGAGTAGTATTCCATTGCACATATATACCACGATATCATTATCCACTCAGATGTTGTTGGATTGTTTCCAGATACTAACTATTGTAAATAATGCTGTGATGAACACGGATGTGCAAATAGCCTTGCAAATTTTGGTTTTAGTTGGGTAGGTCTTTGGGTAGTTGCCCAGGCGAGGGATTGCTGGGTTATATGCAAGTTCTAGTCTTAAATTTTTCAGAGATATCCGTGCAGTTTTCCATAACAACTGAACAAGATGACATCCCCAACAGAGAAAGGTGGGCCCTTTTTCACCTTAACCCTGCCAAAAGTGGTGGTTTTCCATCTTTTATATATGTACCAGTCTCAGTGGTGTTTTGATCTGCATTTCCCAGATACTTTGTGATCATGAGCATTTTTTTCATATACCTCTCGTCCATCTTTATGCTTTTTCTGGAAGAAGTATTTGTTAAGCTCCACTCTTCATTTTTTCTGGAGTTGTTTGGTTTTTTTGCTGGTGTTACTGAACTCGGCGACTGCTTTATCTATCTTGGACATTATCCCTTTGTTTGATGTATGAGGTGTGAACATTTTATCCAGTTCAGTAAGGTGTATTTTTATTTGATGCCTCATTTCTTTCTCCCAGATGCAGCTTTTTAATTCAATGCCATCCTATTTGTTTATTTCTGCTTTGGCTTTCCTTGACAGTGAGTCCTTCTCATTGAAGGCTCTCAGGTCAATAGTACAGTCTACTCTATTTTTTTACTCAATGTGCTAAGTAAATAAGGTTCTTTTAAAAAAAAGAATATTTTTAATGGGAATGCAAAGCATCTTAGACACAATCATGCGCTTGTTAATAGCAGTGGAATGTTCATTACCAAGTATGTAATTATGAAATGGATTTTCTTGTACTAGGAAAACAAATAGGGAAGAAAACATACACAATCAAAATATCACATCCTAGTCAATTAAAATATCACAGTCAATTAAGATTAAATTTTGTTCACATATTTTAAAAACTGACATAGGAACCAGAATGATAATATAGTAAGAAGGGTACCTGTCTTGCATGGACCTGACCCCAGGTTCAATCCCTGATACTCCTTATGGTTCCCTCTGCTGTCAGAGGTGATACCCAAGCATAGCACCAGAAGAAATACCTAAACACCACTGAGTATGGTCCCCTCCCCACGCCTCCACTCCGCGCCAAGAAAAAAAAAACCTTAAATAGGGCTGGAGCGATAACACAGCAGGTAGGGCATTTGCCTTGCATGCAGCTGACCTGAGTCCAATTCCTCTGTCCCTCTTGGAGAGCCTGGCAAGCTACCAAGACTATCCCGCCCACCCACAGAGCCTAAAAAGCTCCCTGTGGCATATTCAATATACCAAAAACAGAAACAACAAGTCTCACAATGGAGACACTACCGGTGACCACTTGAGCAAATCAATGAACAACGGGAGGACAGTGCTACAGAGCTGCAGTGCTAAAGTGCTACAGTGCTACAGTGCTACAGTGTTTTGAAGAGGGAACTTTTCTCTGAAGCAAAGAAGTTTGGGGATTGGTGGTCCAGGACTGGAAAGGAGGCCAAAATTATTAGGATTCTCCTCCTTCAATCCCCTATGCCTTTGTCCTTAGTGCATTGTGTCCATCCTCAAGGATGATTTTATGGTTCAAGAGAACTGCAAGAAAACAGGCTTCAGTTCAGGAGAAAGAGGATGATAAGCAGGAATTAAAGTGGTGTGCATCTCGGGAAGGCTGATCAGCTGCTCTTTAATAAGGTTTCCTCAGAAATTCCAACCAATGACTTCTGTTTATATTTCATTGGTCATTGTGATCGCAAGGGAAACTGGGAATTATAGTCATTTTAGGTGGGTACACTGCTCTCTTCACAAGTAACAGGGATTTAGTGCTGAGGAACACAAATAGAATTATCAAAGAACTAAAAGTCTCTTCCACATATTCAAAGACTCCCAGTCAGGGAAGCAAGTAAGACATGAAGCCAGGGCAACCAAAAATAGGAAAATCTATGGGCAAATGCAAGGAAGAGCATAGATATTTCAGAGTTTCAGGACTGACAGCTTTCTGATAAGGAACAAATGGCTTAGTAATCAAATACAGACGGTCACCTTGCCTTTGGAACTGCTGAAGAGAAAAACTAGTTCAAGATACAAGTTCCCATAAATTACAAAACTGAGAAGCCAAAATGGAATGCGGAAGTGGGGTCAGGTAAGGGGGATTTGAGTAATCTCTTCTTACTTTTATACCCATCTTTTGAGAATTCTACAATTCTGAAGCTATCGGGTGAATTCAAAGTCAAATGTCCCAAAAAAAGCGTGAGAAATGTAGAGTCTCTGAGTGATAATAAAAGACAATGATAGAGAGGCCTATGTTAGCCAGAACATCAAGATCATGAGGATTAGAAACAGGTGATGAGCTCTGGCCCTCACAATCTTAGAAAGGATCCTCATAAATATTAATTGTGATGTAGCTACAAAACTTCCTAAGTATGTAACCTCTGACCACAACACAGGATTGTATTGTGAGACCACCCCTTAGCCCCGCCTACTTAATCCCATCCCCTGGGGCCCCACCCCTTTGTCCCCACCCAGGCCCCAGTCACTTGGAGCTCCTTATCCAGGGCCACCCCTTTGGCCGCACCCATGTGGGGCACATTTTGGAGACACATCTAATGTGCTCAAGGGTAACTCCAAACTGGGCTTTAGGAACCATAGACAGTGCCAAGATCAAACCAGGCTCAGCAGCATGCAACACGAATACCCTAGACATTCTATTCTCTCCCTAATCCCTCATTTGTACTTTCAGAAGGTGACTTACATGGTGCCAAACTTAGTTCAAATCTCCTTTTCTTCATGGTGATATAGGTAATAATATTATATTGCCTATTTAAAAGTTAAGAAAGGAGATTTTTATAGTTCTTACATGGAAGAGCATATATCAAAAAGACTGGAAACAGCCAGTGCTGACGGGGATGAGAAAAAAAAGAATCCCCATCCACAGTAGAAATATCTGGCTCAGCCTCTATGGAAACAGCATGGACACCTCTCAAAAGATTAAAAACTGAGCCTCCACATGACCCAAGTCATTCCACTTCTTGGCATCTACCCCCAAAGTACAAAAACATTAATTTACCCTGTGTTCTTTGTGGCACTTCTCACAATAGCCAAAATCTGTAAATAACTCAAGAACCCAAGAACAGAGGAACAGATTTCAAAGTTGTGTTATATCTAAACCATGGTGTGCTATTTAGCTATAAGATGAAATGAAAGGGAGGACAGGAGAGATAATACAGAAGGTAAGGCACTTGCCTGGCAAGTGGCCACAAGGACTGCAACCTAGATTTGAATCTTTGTCACCACATTGCCAGAAGGGACCCCTGAGCAAAGGGACAGGGTAAACAATGAGCATCACCAGGTGTGCCAAAAACTTTTTTGAATTAAATTAAAAAGATGATTTTAATGGCTATAGGTCACAGCAACTAAGATAGAACTGGGAGGGTATCATGTTGACAAAAAGGAGTCAAAGAGAAAAGGGAAAATAACAAATTATCTCTCTTAGGTGTAAAGTATAAAGAAACATAGCAAGGTAGTCTGTCTCTGAAAGTTTGTTTATAGAACTGAGTTTGCTAAGAGGAAACAGGGAAGTGGAGGGACTGAGACAAGCTGGAAGGGCACTGAGACTCTGGCAGCCAGTGTGGTATAGAAACACTGTATTGCTGAGACTTCAACACTAACAGTATTATAAATCACAGAGCCTAAATAAAAATATTGAAAAAAAGAAACAAAAAATGACCCCAAAAATGGCATGATGAACTTGAAGAGTATTACTAAATGCATCACTGTATCACTGTCACTGCCATCCTGTTGTTCATCGATTTGCTCGAGCGGGCACCAGTAACGTATCCATTCGTCCCAGCCCTGAGATTTTTGCAGCATCTCCTTACTCATCCTTCCCAATGGTGCCATATTGGAGGCTCTTTCAGGGTCAGAAGAATGAGACCCGTTATTGTTACTGTTTTTGGCATATTGAATACATCACGGGGAGCCTGCCAGGCTCTGCTGTGTGGGGAAGATACTCTGGGTAGCTTGCTGGGCTCTCTGAGAGCATTTTAATGCATAAACAAAATAATATTTTTAAGTTCTTAAGTTTTCATAAAAGAAATTGTGAGATGATGCAAGTGTTAATATGAACCTACTTATAGTAATTGCTCGGTATATACATGTATCAAATCTCTATGTTGTACACTTCAAATTTATACAATATTATACATCAATTACATCTCAAAAGGCTGAGAAACAATCATCTCTGAGTCAGATCACTCATAGCTTCTCTAATATTATTTTAGTTGTTTTTTCTCTTAGAAAAATTTGTTTAATTTGAAGAGAACTCCGTATTGGCAATAATTACCAGCATTATATTTTTATTTAAATCTGAGAGATCTTGTCTTA